TTGTAGCATAAATCTCCCTGATATCCTAGACACTCAAATATTTGGGATAGATGCATAATACTACAATATAGACTATTACATCGTTTATATAAGTAATCTTCTATTACTGGACACCTAAGTTTATTGGTTTATTTGTCTATGATGTTCAAGAGAGCACTGTTGTTGATCAATGCCTTAAGGAATCTTAGATTCTCCCTTACTTAGAATAAGATTATTGGATCAACATTTGGGTACATTTTTTAGGTGTAAGTTACATCTGGATGTATTACCGTCTTCATTTTGATCATTTTACTCTTGATATAATAGCAATTCAGTCTTACTACTCTGCCCCTCAGCTTAAATATTATGCCTTTACATTTGTAAATAGTTCAAATCAAATAATCCCCAATCCACCAAAGATAAGTCAGTCAATACTTAGAACTCTGAGTTTTTTTCTCATGTCGATGGGGTTTGCATATGTATAGCAGGTAAGTTCGGAAAAGCTCACTTAGCACAAAACATTACATCATTATATAACAGAAGTATTACCAATTGTTCTCAAAAACTAAATATGGGTTAAAAAATAATTTATAGACAAATGGACTCAAAAATCCCAAATTGAGATGACAAGTATGTAATGACTTCTCCGCTTCCTCCCAGTTAGTTCGCCTGCCCACCAGACAGGAGCCCATGGCCCAGTTGCTGGGTACAAGTGGTGGCCCAGTTAGTACAGGGCTTCAGGCAGGCAGGGTCAGGGCGGTTTTCGAGTTAGTGGCAAAGCCTGGCAAAGGGGCTTGTAGGAGGTCAGTGCTGTGAGTCTGTGTGTAATACGTGTAAGAAACCTGGGAGACATCTTTATGCCTCTCTGTGCCCAGTTCTGTACACTTGGTCAATTTGTTTTGGTGCCTACTTTCTCTACCTTCCTCAGATCTTTTTATCCTGCCACTTTTCCCGCTTTCCCTTATCAGCTCAGATCCCCATTTCCCCCAATACATTTAGAAGGCAGATAAATGCAGCCAAGGCCCTGTAAGCTGCAAGGATTTGCCCAAGAGTAAGATCAGAACTTCCTGTAGGGAAACCAAAGGGGGCCATAAAGGAGATCACTTGAAGTCTTTGTTAGCTGTAGTAACATTAGTTAAAATCATGTGGTTTTTCTATGATTAGAATGCTTGTAAATCAACTGGAAAAAGGATAGTTCTAAAAGCTGGTTTTTTATTGGCCTCCTTACTTATACTTTTCATATTCCTTATGAGAATATTATAAATATTATTATTTATAATATTCTAATATTATAAATATATAAATATTATTATATATTGGTTTTAATGTTTGCATGATGTTCTATTTTAAGAATGCATCCTGATTTAATAAAATTCTCTGTATTTGAAGGCTTAGTTATTTTCTAATTTTGACCTGCTATAAACTACACAAGGGTGGACATATTTCTAGCTATAACATTATAAATGTTTATGAATATTTTGTTAGGACAAATGCCTGGAGAGAGAAATGGTGCACCAATGGGTACACAAGATGCCTTCCAGAAATCCACGCCAAGGTTCATTCCTACCAATAAATAGAAACATATATAATACAGAGACATAAATACACCAATGTACAAGCCAATGAATAGCATATATATGCTAAAACACATGTGCATACATGTATATCTAATTTTCATTTAAAATGTTTAGAATAAGAAATTGAACTTCAGTAACTCTTAATTTTTTCACTGAAAAAAATTCTGGCTCTTCTAACAATAAGTACTCCAGTTGAAATTTATATGGTTTTAAATGGAATTGTATTAACTTTATAAATTACTCTGTGGATAATTGACATTCATTTAACATTTAGTTTCCATATTATTATGTTCCTTGTTTCATCATTCAAGTCTTTTTAAGTGTCAGAAAAAATTTCATAATTTTACTTGAATGGCTCCTAAAAAGACTTATTGATAGAAGTATTTCTAGACATTTTATAATTTTGATTTTAGAGTAAATGGTAGATTTTTTATTTTAGAGTATAACAGATATTGTTGATCAACAGGAAAAAGTGTTTATTTCATTATGTTAACTTTATAATTGGCCATTTTAGAAGTTCTCATTAATTCCAGTAGATAAATATTTTTGCAGTTAATTTCTTCAATTTTCCAACTAGACAATGATATTATCTACAAATGATGATAATTATTTTTTTCTCATTGTGTATGTATTTAATTATATATTATATCTACTACATATGTATGTACATATATAGTTTTCTCATCTTGCTCTTGTTCACATTTGAAGAACAATGTTGTACAAAAATGGGGGTAATTGACCTTTTCCTTGACCTTAATGGTCATATCTCTAGTGTGTTACAGTTAGGTATAATATTGACTTCTTATTTTATCAAAATACATTATTTATCACACTTAAGAAATATTCAATTAACATATTTTTTGAAAGTTTTATTCTAAGTGTGTGTTGGCTTTTGGCAGACTTTGAGATGAATAAATGGTGTTTCCATTTTGATGTATTGATAATGTAGCATATTAATAGATTTTATCACATTAAATGATCTTTATATACATAGGATAAACCCTACATTAGCATGGAATATCAGTCACTTAATATGCTACTGCCTTAATATTCTTTAATTACAGAAAGTTGGTTTTCTATCTGTACTCAAGTGTGAGAGTGATTGTTATTGGGGTTTGTTACCTCATGATAATAATTGTAAAGTTTTCTATATTTTTCTCACCTCTGAAAAGTAGCATAAGAAGTATATTTTCCTTGAGGTATGTAGGACCTGCACAAAATGCCATCTAAGTGGTGTGCCTTTGGTTGGACATATGGCGGACATTAGATGCTGTATTTTGGCAAATTTTAAAATTTCTTCCAGAATTGCTGGGCAAAAAGTTTTTATCCATTCTCAAGTAAATTTTTACAATTTAGTTTCTTCGTAGAAAATCATTCATTTTAACAAAATGTTCAAATTTATCACCACTCTATGGAAATGATATTTTTTATAAATGGTCTATTGATTCTATTGATTCCTTTCATAGATATGATATTTTTTATTCCTATGTATTTCTGTCCTTCTCAATAACAGAGATGTTTTCAAGAAACTATTCTTAGGTTTTTTTTTTTTTTTTGGCTTTTCAAAGCCCATTTCAGATTAAGCAACTTTTATTGTTCTTTTAATTCATCAATGTCTGCTTTTGTCTATATTATCTCCTTCCTTACACTTACAATTATGGCATTGTTCTTTTTCTTGATTCAATTGAACCTGTGATTTATTTACCTTCATTTTTTTATATATATTTGTGCTTAGTAAACACTTCTACAAATCACTTTGTTTTTTTCTCTACTTCTACAATATGGGCATCCACACAAGCCTGACTTACAGGTGTGGAGGTAAACACATTCTATTTAAAATTCCACCCACTGTACTTTTGATTTTTACTGTGAACTGCCTCTATATCACTTTAGTTTCTCTTTAATTTGACTTTCTTTACTAAATACAGGAAGAGGGTAAGACTGAAGGAGATGGTTGTTGGATTGTTATAATCACTTTAAACATATAAAGTGTTGATCTGAATTGTTCATTTGTAATTTTTTAAATGTCTTTGTCTCTTAAGCACAGGTAAATAAATACCAGAAATGAAGGACGCAGGTCCTGGAACTATGAAGAAGAGCTTATTTTACTACTTTCTCTTCCTTTGATTGGCTGTTTTCTTCATCCTTGACTGGCTATCTGCGCTTACAATCACATCCTTCCCTTTTCCTTTCCAATAATTAAACCATAAATACAATTTAAACCTACTAGCTTCTTAAAATATTTTTAATTATCCAGCAACTCAGTGGAAAAATGATAAATCCCCTTTTCCTCTCTCCTAATACATGAAAAAAAATCTTACCCTTGTACATACTATAATCAGGCCTGGGCTAATAGGCTTGGTAGAGGGACGATGCTCAGAAATCACAGTAAGATGAGCCTCGAAGCAGAAATATGAGTCCAGAAAAACTGTGTGTGGAATGGGGTAAATAGTAGGAATGACTGAGGGAGAAAAGTATCCCAACAGCCATGGAGCAGAACATTCCAAATGACCTTTAAATTAAATTTATTTTATATTTAGATTAAGTTTTATATTTAGATTGATATTTTCCTGCATTGTGTGCTGTTTTTATTGCTGCATTATATACATATGAATCTAGGGATCAAAGCCTGTTAACAAAATAATTCCTTGGTCGGAAAATATGTCTCACTTTAAATTTATTTTTTCACCTTTTGTTGAGGAAAAGGTTTTGGCTGTATTTTATTACTTGAAGGATTCATTTTATAAAAAGACCAAAGGATATTCAGAAAAAGGGAAATACACAGGGAAAATAGAAAGGGTAGTAAGAAGAAATAAGAGTTGAGAAAATTTTCTGTATAGAAGAAGAATGGGAGAAGAAGCTGAACTTTGCCAACATTTGTCAACACCTAGGTAACTTTCAACCCTTTCTCAGGGCACAAAAAGCCCCTGACTTGGCAGGTGTGGTACCGTAAGCACAGGTAAGGTTCTCCCGGATTCTATTATTGCTTGTTTCCCCATCTAATGACACATTTCCCAGACAGGCATCAACCTTCACCATGGCTTCCACATCCTTCTTCAATTTAGGATGGGGGTGAGGAACAGATAGTTAATTTTATGGAGAACAGAATCAGCAATGTGAATTGTAGAAAGAAGATTTCTATAGGAATGTAACATTTCTGTGTGATATCATGCCAAATCAAAATGACTTGAATATTTCTTTGCAAGGTAAAACTAAGTCTATATATGACACGTGGCAAAAAAATCCAAGCTTTTCAAAAAAAAATCTATCTTTTTTCAAAACACTTTTTCTTCAAAAGGAAATTTCAATGAACATTTTCCCCAGTTAACAAAGGTAATCGATGAGCAGGATGATATACACAAATCATTTGAAGAATACATAGCTGTTACAGACCTATGAATTGGAGAATATAATGAAAGTTTCACTGACTTTGAGAATCATGACATGACACTCAAATTAGCATTTCAGCCTCACCTAGTTGATGTCGACAAGGCACCTGAAAAACAGATGGAATTGATTGAGCTCTCAGTAGATGACATTTTAAAGTCATTGTTTGATGCTAAGAAAGATCCAATCAAAATATGGACAAATGCAGTAGAATACCCACACCTTCAGTAACATGCCCGAAAAATAAGTTCTCATTTTTCAACCACTTGTTGCTGCAAATCTACATTCTCCTGCCTAATCCAAATCAAGATGCCCTTAAAGTCACAAATGACTGACACCCATCTAGAGGATCAGCTAAAAGTGGGAACCTCCATGCTGTAACCAAATATTCAAATGCTTTCCAACAAAAAGCAGACACAACAAAGTCATTAAAAGGTTAGGCTACTTTAAATTAACAAATAGTCTTCATTTTTTGAAATTACTATATGCATAGTAGTTATATTTTTACAAAATAATGTACATTTTTAAGTATATCTCATTGGAGTTTCTTGAATGCAGCCTTCTTTGATTACAACTAAATTAATGCACCCTTCCAACAAGAGACATCTCTCCACCCTTGGTTTAGGACCTTGGGAGCCTGAACATCCTACTTTTCTAAGTAGTAAAGATTAATGATATCTATCTCAAGGCCCTCAGGTACCTCCAAACATGAAAGACGTTTTGTTCCTACCTTGACCATATTTGTAGCTCCTATAAATTCATTTGATCAGTTTCTAAGGCCCTCTTAAAATCTACCCTGGTCTCTCCTATGTGTCTTATCAGAAATCAGGTATTGCCTGGGAGAACAGAACTGGAAAAGGAACTCATCCTCATTAAGTTTTCTCGTTCATTTCTATATTGTGTGTATCCACCCAATAGGATAATTGTTAGGAGAACAGAGATTCAGCTTTTTCATTCCCTTTCATATCCCCAGTGCTGGAATTGGTGCCTGACGCATAGTAGGCAATCAATAAGTACATGTTGGACAAATAAAAAAATAGTTATAAAGGAACATTTTAATACAAACAGGCTGTTAAGAAGAAAAGGTATATTTATCTTAAATAAAGCTCAGAGGTTTGCAAAAGGCATTCCAAACTTTTAGCTGCTCTTTAACTGTTAAGTATATGTATATTTTAGATTAGCACAGTCTGTATCTTCAATTATAAGCCCATGAGAGCAAAGATTTGTAGCTTTTCTAATTACTTTGTTGCTTCTCTTTCCCCAGGAGCCCGAGGTCTATCATCTGAACTAGTACATCCAGTATAGAGTGAATTGACTTGTTATTTCTGCTGGTGGTGAAGAAATCATTCCCAATTACTCCACTGGACTTACACTGAACATGGACAAAATCTTTAATCAAATAAGTTAATTCAGGGTATTTAACCAAAAGTAGAGAAGAACACAGAGGAGGCAAGAAGGTCATCTCCAAGTGTCTGAAATCTACAATGTCATTTAGAAGAGGCTATGGCCTTGTTCAATGTTGCACATATTATGTTCTGTCCCATGTCTATCCCAGTCAAGAAAAGAGTGGATATCAGTTCAATATAATCAATAACCAACACTCAGGTAGAACTGCCAAAAACAACAGTTCTCTAGACTACAAAGTTCTCCAAAACTGGAGCAATTAAAATAGAAGCTAAGTTGCTATATGAATTTTCAAGAATGTGGTAGAAATGAGACTCAACTAGATGGCCCATAATTTGTATTCCAACTCTAAATTCCTAGTACACATGATTGAATGAGTACCTATAATACAGTTTGCATTTCTTAAGAGTTTAAGTACCTCTAAGAATAGTGAAAAAGTTGTCACTTGAGGTTGGAACCTGAGGAGCCCAGTATTAGGTATAAGAAAAAGATAAGAGAGAATGCCGAGCAGGAGTTAAATGAAGGGATTTCAGAATCGAGTGTCGTTTAATGTTGTAATTTCCCAGGACTACAAGATTGAAGGCAGTTCAGTGGTTTCTTCATTATATGAGTTCTTTGTTAGATGAGTCCAAGTGTTCCTACTGCCAGGGCTCTAGAATGGCCCTTGAAAAGTCAAGAAGGTGGATCCAGAGAGCAAGGTGCACTTGGATCAATAAAAGACCTTGGTTGTTGAAGGCCTCTTTGGGTGGATTCTAATAATTTTCAGAAATATATGAGTGGATATTTGAGAACTGGATTAGACATTCTCGGTTATTTGTTTTTCCAGAGTTCTTTGTTTTTAACTTTGCTCACTCATGGATTTAAATGTAGAAAAGCAAATGTCACTCAGCCAGGAGGTCAGCGTTGACGTCCACGAGCACCAGCTTTGCAGCTCCCTGCTGTTTTCTATTTAATATATAATCTATTCAATCCTCACATCTGCCCTGTGAGGAAATAATCATTATCCCCATCTTACAGATGGCAGCAGTAAACATCAACGTTCTAAAATATAGCCCTAACGCAGCCTAAAATCCGGACTAAGATAGCTGGAATGGTTCATGGATATTGGTGATGAAATTTGAGACTGGGGGGTAACAGTCACATGTAAAGAAGGAGGAGCACATGTCTGACTCTTTTGAGGGGCCTGTCCTCAATTATATTAGAGAAACTGAGGCAGTTGAGTAACCCCTGTAGTAGAAAGACTGTAGGATAACTCCCAAGAACTTCTTAGCATTCAAACCTTATATAATCCCTTCCCCTTGAACATAGATTGAATCAACCTGCTCTCTTCTACTGAATAAAATACAGAAAGAGCAATGGGCTGTTACTTCTGAGATTAGGTTACAAAAGCACTGTGATTTCCGTCTTGCTTGTCCTCTCTTGCTTTTTGGGAGAGACCAGGTGCCATGTTGTGCTCTTCTCTCCAGGTAGTAAGAAACTGGTATCTCCGAGAGTCAATGAGGACTTCAGCCTACCAAGAGTCCTGTGAGTGAGCTTTGAAACAGATCCTTCCCCACCGAGCTTTGAAATGACCATAGCCCAGGCCAACACCTTGATTACAACCTTGTGAAAGACCCTGAATCAGAGACTCTCAGCTAAGCGGTGCCTGGATTCCTGACCCATAGAAACTGTGAGATAATAAATGTTTGCTATTTAAAGCTGCTAAGCTTTACTATAATTTGTTATACAACAACAACAACAAAAATGATACCTAATCCACCCATCATATTAAAAGGGAGATGTCTTTGGGATCTAGAATAATTTAGGCAGATTTTAGGAGGAAAAAGAGAACTTTGAATTGAAATGTCTTGGCTAATAGAAAGTCTTGAATTGGTGTAGAAAATGAGTCATAAACATATAAAGATACTCAGACTACTTGGCCCTGTGATAGCTTAGCAGGGCAGGAGTTATAGGGCAAATAACAAGGAATGACAGATGATGTGCTGGGAAATAATGAAACTTTAAACAGCTATGTGTATACATAGGGTGGTATTTTAAAATTTTTCAACTACAAAGATGCTTTATTCTTTTCTACTCTGGGGGCCATGTAAAAACAGCCATGTCATGGTCACACCTAAGACCTTTTGATGGCGCCCCATTGTCCACACAAGCATGCCTAGTCCTTCTGATGCTGCATATCAGACCCTCCCTGTCACAGGACCCCTGCCTACCTCTTCAGGTTGTCCTCTTGGTCCTCTCTTTCCCAAACTGCATGTGTGGGGCTCTCTAAATGCATCAAAGTCTTTAACACCCCTTGCCCTTGCAGAGATGAACTCAAATTCCTGCAAAGTTCTTTGCCACCTTCTTCAAAGGTTAACTCCTCAGTTGTCTTTTGTGAATTCCCTGAACTGTCCCACCAGCCAGGCAGACTTTCCTTTCTGTGTGCCCCCTGAGGAGCAATTGAAAATGGCAATTGTAGAACACACCGTGTTGCACTGAGATCATCTTTATCGAGGTCTTGCTTTCCATCCCTCTCCATGGTAGGCACTGCACTGACCTGCCCCACCACTTGAAATATTTTGTCTGTAAACCCAATTTTATAATTTTCCTTTTTACTTAATCAAAAGCTTATATAGCTGCCCATCAGAGCTTAAGAGCAGGATGAGATACGATCAGGATAGATTCAAATACAGTGAATCTATAGCATTCACATCAAAAACAGATCATCTCAACATTTTTATAACTTTACAGAGATGAAGGTACGGTTTCTGTTTGCCTCTTTAAAATGTTCCGATAGCTCAAAGCTTCTGTCTACCCACTGGTGCACTTAGAACCTGTGGAGGTCCTTGTGAAACCCTCTGGTATCTAGTTTTCCTCCAGAAGCTACTGTTCTTGAGCTACAAAGCAAAATTAAAATAAGGAAACCCATGTATAGACTTGTTTTATGTATGCATCTTGAGTGAGTTCTCACAAGCGCTGGAGCAGTGTTTTTCAGTATTTTGTAGCCTCTGTGGTAGGGTTTATTGTTGTTATTGTTGTTAACTTCAATCAAACAATGTCAGCTACTATAATCCATGTGCCCTTTGGGCATATCTGCAAGATTAAACAGGGGCATCTCAATTCTTATTTAGTAGAAATCAAATATAATATTAGAAAAAAGAAGATAAGGACCAAAATGCCACTCAAAGAGTGACATGTTTTGAAGGCTAGAAAGGATGTCAGAAACTAGCTGATGTAACACCCTCATTTTTTCTAATGGTAAAGGTGGATCAAAAAAGTGAATTAACATACCCCGTCACACAATTGGTTAGTAACAATGCTGGGAGTGGACCTCACGACCCAAAGCCAAGCCCAGGTCTCTGGTTGTCATACCACTGAACACCCTCACACTTACTCCCATCCCTAGAATTCAGTTCACATGAAAAATGATGTGGAATCGGAGGCAAAGCAACAATTTTCTATTTTGCAAGCAAGGCGCCTCAATTTTGCTTCAACTCTCTGAATGTTTGGGACAAATATTATATTCACTTTAACAACACAGATATCAGCTTCTGGGCTATGCTTTCCTTTCTCTGCCTGGAGCTCTCACACTAGATCATCTAACAAGTTGGATTTGCATGGTGTTGCACTGGCCCACATTTTCTTTTGGATCCTGCCTTCTGTTCTTGCTGTATCCCTTTTGTGTATGAAAACATGAAGCACATTGCAGTCTGCAGTTACACTGGCTGACAGAACAGAAATTGAATCCATCCCTGGGAGCAATAGATTCAACCCTGGAACCTCTGGCACATTCTGGCAGCTGCTAGGGAGGCTTGTGCTGTACATGCCTTCCAGAAATTTCCCC